GATAGGACACATAACAGACGGACCAGTACATACTGTTTAACATTACTTATAGGCTGATAGGACACATAACACACGGACCAGTACATACTGTTTAACATTACTTATAGGCTGATAGGCCACATAACAGACGGACCAGGAGATACTGTTTAACATTACTTAATGGCTGATAGGACACATAACAGACGGACCAGTACATACTGTTTAACATTACTTATAGGCCGATAGGACACATAACAGACGGACCTGTACATACTGTTTAACATTACTTATAGGCTGATAGGTCACATAACAGACGGACCAGTACCTACTGTTTAACATTACTTATAGGCCGATAGGACACATAACAGACGGACCAGTACATACTGTTTAACGTTACTTATAGGCCGATAGGACACATAACACACGGACCAGGAGATACTGTTTAACATTACTTATAGGCCGATAGGACACATAACAGACGGACCTGGACATACTGTTTAACATTACTTATAGGCTGATAGGTCACATAACAGACGGACCAGTACATACTGTTTAACATTACTTATAGGCTAATAGGACACATAACAGACGGGCCAGTACATACTGTTTAACATTACTTATAGGCCGATAGGACACATAACACACGGACCAGGAGATACTGTTTAACATTACTTATAGGCCGATAGGACACATAACAGACGGACCTGTACATACTGTTTAACATTACTTATAGGCTGATAGGACACATAACATGTACAAGCGGAAAACCCATGTACGTCAATAATGAAAAGATAAAAGCAAGGAAAAACAAATTTAAGAATGAATAAATTGAATGAGTGAATATGAGTTAGTGAAGGAAAGAATGTATGAGTGAATGAAAGAATGAATGAGTGAATATGAAAGAAAAAACCGAAAGAATTAATTAATTAAATGATGATTGATAGGTTTAATGGTTTTTGCATTGATTAATTAAATGGTTGAAGTTAAAAAGGAAGTCACAATGGATTATTTTTCTAATACTTATATTTCTAATGTATTCTTTCTGCTTCAACTTCTTAAATGAAAGAAACTCCAAATCAGTTGAAAACGCCGACGGGGTCCGTAGGTGACAAGGGGACAAAAGGGAACAATCAGTTTAAAAATAGGCTAAATTTTTATAAAAATAAAAAGGAAAATACGATGAGCTAGTGGTACGATTCTTTTATAATCTGGACATCTATCAAAACAAGGGAAATGACGAAAATAAACAGATGTGCTTTTAACCCTTTTGGAGACCCTGTCAAGGCCCCAATACTAACACAATTGCAACTAACTCTGTTTTTCATCAGAAGTGATTAATGAACTTCACGACTTGTTTAGACGTTGTAATTAGGGCTTTACTATTCGGGGTCAGTTCTGGTCATAGTGTCCGATAACAACATTCCGATGCTCTGGTGGTACACTTTTTTCATATCTATTTGTACCGTAGGTGGTGCAAAAAGAAATGAAAAAAGTGTAACGTGGTACAAAATGGAGAGAAGCTTTCATATCTCTTAGTAACGGGCAAGAGTGCACCACGGTACAGAAAGATATGAAAATTTAAATCGTTTTGCTGGCTGATATCGGCTGTTGGTACATATACATGTGAAAGAGTTGTTTGTTAAGTTGTTTATAATCTTTAAGTACCACGCATGGTACGAAATGATTTGATTTTTCAAATCATTATGTACCATGATATACTTTTTTATATCTTTGTGTACCATGGTACACTTTTACATGGTACACACAGATTTGAATTTTCATATATTTGTGTGTACCGGGGTTCAAAAAGATATGAACATTCATATCTATTTGTCTGGCTCTTGTCGGTCATCGCACATTTTTTTTATTAGTACACAAAATGATTATAAATAATAATGCTCTAACGATAAAGTTTGTTTTTTCAAATACGGCAATATAATATGTTTATTGCTACTTAAATGGTAAGTTATTATTTATAAATGGGTTATTAAAACTTTTCGTTTTACTATTTGGAACAGATATAAAGACCCGGATTGTGATCAGAGAACTAGAACAGATATAAAGACCCGGATTGTGATCCGAGAACTAGAACAGATATAAAGACCCGGATTGTGATCCGAGAACTAGAACAGATATAAAGACCCGGATTGTGACCAGAGAACTAGAACATATATAAAGATCTGGATTGTGATCAGAGAACTAGATTAGATATAAATACCCGGATTGTGATCAGAGAACTAGATTAGATATAAGAATAGTAATGAATGAATATTAAAGTGATGTCAAGCTTTATACATTATTTCTGAGTGCTAAAAAAAAAGTCGACGCGGGACGGACGAAGGAAGACGCACGTACTAATAAAATCTAAATGTTTATGCATAATAATATTTTACAGACTGGCCAAAACGGACTAACGAAGCATAACTTACATGAGGCTTTCCAGACTGACCATGACGGACTCGCTTGGTACGATCGCCAACTGACCGCCTTCGTCTTGACATGACGTAATGTGTTGTAAGTCAGAGGCGTTCTGTGGTGTAGCTTGGGCCCAGTAACACACGTGGTAGTACGGAAGCTGATACGCACCGGCGGGACACGAGGCTAGAGTAAAACATAACAGATCGAACAGTTAACTTAAAAACGAACAGGACATCCTCCTTATCATTTGGTAAATTTTAACTTTTATGTCATTCGTGTTTTACGGTTAACAAAATGCATTTAAATCGGTACATTGGTGTGTTGACTGTTTACATAACATACTGTGATATAAATTTCTAACGAATCAGAAAGCACTCATTTATTGCGCGGACGAATATATTCCCGAGTGCGCGGAGCGCACGAGTGAATATATACGTCCGCGCAATAAATGAGTGCTTTCTGATTCGTTAGAAAGACACAAGTGTGTGGTCTTTCTTTTATCACATACCTTCCGTATTTGGTAGAGACAGATACAAAGATTTTATAAACTTTGATACCGGGAACTTTTCAGTTCGCCATGACAAGGGGATTCCCATAAAAGTGCTTGTATTACTATAACAAGATCAGCTTACTATTGAAAGAGAATGTACAGGTAAAATATATAATCTCAATCAGCTTACTATCGATGGAGAATTTGCATGTAAAATATTAGCACAAACAGCTTCACTATTGATAGAGAATGTACAGGTAAAATGTTAGCTAAAACAGCTTATTATTTATAGAGAATGTACAGGTAAAATGTTAGCTCAATCAGCTTACTATTGATAGAGAATGTACAGGTAAAATGTTAGCTCAATCGGCTTACTATTGGTAGAGAATATACATGTAAGATGTTAGCTCAATCAGCTTACTCTTGATAGAGAATATACAGGTAAGATGTTAGCTCAATCAGCTAACATGTAACTATTTATAGAGAATGTACAGGTAAAATGTTAGCTCAATCAGCTTACTATCGATAGAGAATGTACAGGTAAAATGTGAGCTCAATCAGCTTACTATTGATAGAGAATGTACAGGTAAAATGTTAGCTCAAACAGCTTACTATTGGTAGAGAATATACAGGTAAGATGTTAGCTCAATCAGCTTACTCTTGATAGAGAATATAAAGGTAAGATGTTAGCACAATCAGCTTACTATTGAGAGAGAATGTACAGGTAAGATGTTAGCTCAATCAGCTAACTATTGATAGATAATATACAGGTAAAATGTTAGCACAATCAGCTAACTATTGATAGATAATATACAGGTAAAATGTTAGCTCAATCAGCTGACTATTGATAGAGAATATACCGGTAAGATGTTAGCTCAATCAGCTGACTATTGATAGAGAATATACCGGTAAGATGTTAGCTTAATCAAGTTACCATTTATAGAAAATGTGGGCCCTAACTGTATCTGTATACATTTCAGATTACACGTGTACCATGTCGTTGGTACCTGATTGAACGTTTTACATATGATGATGATGATGATGATGATGATGATGATCATGCTGTTTTTGTTCCTTTTGCCTCAACAACTAACATTTCAATGATAGTCATTAAGAACAGTATCGCCCTACGACACCACAGATATAAGCAAACAATATGGAAATTGGGAATATTTATTTCCTGCTTTTGAATTTTAAATATTGTTTGCACATTACCAAAGTAACCTTGATTTTAAAGGAGGTAGATAACAAAATCTGCACTGGTTATATATTCAAAGCAAGTATGGACATTATTTTCTGTTTCTTTACTTTTTATATTTATATATATATATATATATATATAGTAGATAATAAATAAATAAGTCCTTGCGAAGGAAAATATAGAATAAAAACAATTTTTTCAGATCGTCCGCTAGGCCTTTATATATATATATATATAAAATAAAAAGGGATTAAATGTCCATGTGAAGGAAGTAAATATAGAAAAAATAAGATTAACGACCAACTAGTTAAGGAAATCGTTTCTCCAATAATGGAAACATAAATTAAATGAGAGAAAGAAATCCTATTGGAATTATTTAAAATTGATAAAAACCATATCATTTTATGATGACTGGTTGGTAAAAGACAACCCTGTGATTCCAAGGAAGTTCAGACCACGGGAAATGGAAGGGTAAATAGAGGAGGACAGTGATATCAGAAAACAGACGGCCGTTATGAACTTTCAGTCAGAGATACGAATAATGCACAACAAGGCAGAACGTGCTAAACGCAAATGNGAAGCCAGTGCAATGGTACAACAACAATGGAGAATGGAATGCAAGGTGGAAGAAGAAAGGTCTTTAGGAATATGGAATAAGGAGAAAAAACCGTGGTTAGAAGAATATGCAGAACACTACGGCAATGAAATATTAATTCCCGTGTGCAAATCGATTACTACTCTGATGAGATCTAGCATTAGCCCTTACACGCCCGCCTCGCAAACTAGAGAAAATGCGCCAGCTAGAGATACTGGACGGAAATTACAACCTACGACATCATACGCTGAAAGTGTTAAAACACCTGTCTACTCTGTGAAGAAGTCAACAACAGCGACTAAACACTACAGCGTCACTCGTCCGAAACTTCATAGAGTTGCGAAAGAAAAAGCTTACAGCAGGCAAGACGACATTTCATGAACACATGGAATCTGTCGGAAATCGGCGACGACATATATAGGCCAAAGTGTAAACAACCATTTTTTAGGACATTGTCCAACTGTAAACAAAGGCGGAGCAACAAAAGAAGGAGCTACGTCACCCAAGAGACAAAATTAAAACAAATATGGTAGAGGGACTTCTCCCTAAGGTTAATAATTTATCTAAAAGAAAATTAACAAAAGATGAAATTGATTTGCTATCGAAGGGTCTTAATTTTTGTCCAACACCAGATAAAAACGATAATGTAGAACTTCAGGCGGACATTCTAAAATTCTGCAGAAGACTCCGTCTATGCGATAAGTTTTGTGACGAAGACGGTGAAAGCAACCCGTTGGAAACAACGGCGTTAGTCCATAACAATTCGCAATGGAACCCACCAAGAAGTTCGGACAAACATTTAGAAGACGTCATTGATAGTTTTAAAAAAAATCCTTTACATAATGATGATCATAAACACGTAAAAAGTAATCTGTCTTACAGACAGAAATGTGCTTTGGATTCTTTAAGAAATGATACCTCTATTATTATCAAAGAGGCTGATAATGGCAAGGCAGTAGTGGTCATGAATAGAGATTTTTATTATGAATGCATACATAACATGCTTAGTAATGTTGAATTTTATACTTCGGCAAGTGACGATTTCGATGCGGAAACCCGTAGATTAATCAACGAGCTAATACGGACACATGAAGCATGCCTACATGAAAAGGAGATAGATTATCTTGTCAATTCAATGCATGATACTAGTTATTTCTATGGTTTGCCTAAAATCCACAAAAGCTCTATTATAAGTAAAGCTATAGAAGAACAAATCTGTACATATATTGAAGTTGAAAATCCTACGGATTTGAAGTTTAGACCTATAGTAGGCGGCTCTAATAGTGCAACGCAACGTTTGAGTCATCTTGTAGACCTCATTCTTAAACCTTTATGCACAAGTGTAAACAGTTATATCAAAGATGATTTTGATTTTCTGAGCCGTTTATCTAAACAGGTCCCACATAATGCTAAACTTGTTTCTTTTGATGTTGTTAGTTTATACACTAATATACCGCATGATCTTGGTATTGAAGCTGTTAAATATTGGTTGATCAAAAAACGAGAAAAAGTTAATTCTCGTTTTAGTAATGAATTTATACTGCAAGCTCTAGACATTGTCCTCAATCGTAATTCTTTTTATTTTGAGCAAGAATACTTTCAACAGATTAAGGGTACAGCGATGGGAACTAAAGTTGCCCCTACATATGCAACCTTAGTTTTAGGATACTTAGAGGAAACACTTTATTCTAAGATTGAGACAAAGTTTGGGGAAAACTTTACTGAATTTATCAGAAATAATTTTTTAAGGTTCCTTGACGATTGTTTTGTTATATGGCCTTCTGATAAGGATTTAAATGAATTTCAAAACCTATTGAATTCTTTACATCCTTCTATTTGTTATACGATGGAGTGTAACGAAACGTCTTTACCTTTTTTAGATGTTTTAGTTCAACTAGATTCAAATAAGATTACAACGGATTTATATTGTAAGGCTACAGATGCACATAATTATCTAAATTTTTACTCTAACCACAGTAAACACACTAAAGTTAATATTCCTTTTAATCTTGCCTCACGGATTGTCACTATCGTCAGTGACCAACAAGCTCAAATTACTAGACTCGGTCAACTAAAGCAATACCTTAAAGCTCAATGTTATCCTACTGAGATAATAGAACATGGTATACAGAAAGCTATTGAAAAGGGACCCTTTACTTCCCGTCTACAAAAACTAAAGGATGAATCAAAGTTAGTTCCTTTTGTTTCTACTTTCAATCCACGGAATTGTAATATGTTTCCTGTGATAAAGAACAAATGTGAAGAGTTAAAGCAAAGTAGCAGGCGTATGAGAAACATTTTTAATAAACATGCTATTTTACACTGTAGACGCCAACCTAAAAACTTGAAACGTATGTTGACATGTTCTAAGTTTGATAATTCTTGTGTAACACCAAAAGTATCCAAATGTAAGACACCAAGATGTGCTACATGTCCTATGATTATCGAGTGTAATACTTTTATTTTCAAGAATGGTTTGAAATTTACTGTGAAGGTAAATATGAATTGTAAATCAAAAAATGTAATTTATGCAATCGTTTGTTCTAAATGTGGTGATTTTTACATCGGTCAAACCGGTAATGAACTCAGAACACGTATGACTGTACATAGACAACAAACTAGAACTGATTCTTTACGAAATCTTCATGTTAACAAACATATTCATGAATGTGCTGGAGATAAATTTAATGTATTACCTTTGTATCAACTATTTTCATCAGACACTATTTTAAGAGAAACGAAAGAAGACTAACTAATCAAAATATTAAAAACCAAGTCTCAACAGGCCACAGTAAAATGTTACGCTAAATTGTCCACCAATCTTGTGTACTTCGTGACGTCACGTTACTATTGTAGTGTGATGACATGTAATTGTGACGTCAGGACGTTGTTCTTTTAAATAAACCTGAAGAGCCCTGTGAAGGGTGAAAGCAGCTAGTTTTTTAGTCGGTCGTTAATCTTATTTTTTCTATATATATATATAAAAATAAAACAAAACACGAAGACTAGTAAAATCGGCTAGCGCTTTCGCCCATCTTGGGGCTCTTCAGGCGATTTAAATCTATTTGTGACGTCATAAATGGAGTACACATACTTAAGACGTCAAAAATAATGACGTCATAAACAAAGTACACACAATGCGGACGTCTAGAAATTGCGACGTCTTAAAAAGATTACATGAATGTACTTGCATTAACCCTTAGACTCCCACAGGGCCGATTTGGGCCGATCTGATTTTTACGTTGACTGCGACAGGGCCGATCTGGGCCGATCGGCTTTTAACGAATTTTGACGTCACGATCGGCATTGTTCATGACGTCATCAATTCATGTGACATGAGACGATCTGGAAACTATTTGTTCTGTGAGGCGATTTATGTTCAAATTTCAATAATTGTAAAAAAAAAAGATCGGCATCGCAGACACACATATCGTATACCAATGGAAAGCTGAGAACCTGATCTTGAAGATCATATTTACAAAAGATGACGTGCTTCCCCTTTTTTGAAATACCCGTTCATAGAATAAATAAAGAGAACAAAATCACTACACCAAAGTATACTGCGTGTACCATTTTCTGCAGTTGAATATTCTAATTTGATTTCTACTGTACTTTCTGTTTCGGTGTCAAGTGATAGAGTATGGGCATTTTTTTTTATTTATCTATTTCTCTTGGACTTTTAGTGAAAATTCGCAACGGTGTCAGTATATTAGAAACCATTCGCGGACTATCGTGCTGTAAGCGATGTATATGAACTTTCAATTCCTCGGAGATATGACGTTGGATACGGCCAGTGGACACATGGCACGGACAATCCCTTATACACATTATCTGGTATCATTTTTCAAACTAACTAAACTTCTGTCTCATATACTGTTGATTTCGGTGAAACAATAGCAAACAAAAACATTTCACAGTGATGTAAGCCTATTTTCCGTAGTAGACTTTAATACACGCAGTAACCCCTACCTTAGATTCTTTTTTTATTTTATCTGTATCGCGACTGAGCCAGTGTATACTGTTCTTCAGATAAGTTGGCTAGATCAATAGTATAAGGGTCTGAGGTCCGTTCGGACCCTGTTTCATTTTTTTCCATTTTTATTTCATCTCTTTTTTTCCATAAAAGTTCCATAAGGTATGTCTCTTTCACTTCGCAGAAATGATTGATAACGTCTATGGTCAGACTGGAAAAGTTTCCAGCGCATAATTAGTAACGTAACAAGGGGCGCATTCGGATTTAAAGATGTGTTGGTTGCCGACCTTTGCACCAATTTTCGTCATGACACGTACATAAATTGCGCTAGCGTACGCCGAGTTCTGTTAACATCCTTCTAAATTTAAAGTAGCTGTGGTTCTCGAAGTCGCTTCAAACAGAACTTTACTAATTAACGACCTAGTTTGACGAAGATATACGAGCCTCGGCGAGCAATAATCAGTGAGAATAGGTTATTGTATTATGAACTTGAAGACGTCAATAAAAACACTGTGAAATAGTTAATATAATGTCGACTGAAATATTCGGTACTTTGTTTTGTTTTTCTTAGTTATGTTAACTGAATCAAACCATTGATAACTTACAAGAAGAATGTCTCGCCTGTTTGTTGTCTCACAAATTCCTCATAAGATGTAAGTAAATATTATTGAGAAAAAAATGGTTCAGCATCATGTTGGGATATTTAGACGCTACACAGGTACCACTAGCCAAATTTCAGTTTCTCTCTGGCTTTGGTGGATAACGTTGTCTTAAGTTTCGCTGGCTATGATTTGCTATGAATTGCGTTACACATTGTTTTTTATTTACGTCATATCAGTATATATTACGTAAACAAAACGTACCTCCCCAACCACCATCCCATCCTAACAAAGTATTTAGGCTTTATATAAGAATTATTAGCGATACAGACAGTATCTGATTGTGATTAGAAGACGGGTACATGCACGAAATAGAGAAAATGACACATCGGTTCTATGTGCTTAACTAAACAATATCGCATCGCTTTTGAAAATGTGTCTTCGAATTCAAAAACTTCCGCCCTCGATTTCGTACTGAGAGTGTAACCCTTGGATTTCGAAAGGAAATAATAACAATAATATATGATTGTGAACAACAGATCGTACACACATTACAACTCGTTGTAAAACACTAAAGGTAAACAATTCCACACCTGCAAGTTTCTACAATATACCTTAATATCGGTCAATGAAATATATGGAAAAAGAAACGGAGCATATTACAAATGCTCAAATGTATACATTGTTCAATAGCAAAAGTTAAAAACATCTGATAGTAAAAAGGAATTTCAAAGCTCAATACTTAGTTCATCCGAACATACGGAATTTGTAAATTTAAAATTTATAAGAGGTGCTCGAAATTTCCCGCGTTCAAGCCCGGTTTTAGAATTTTAATAAACATGTTCTCTTTTAACTTTCTTGCAATAGTATCTGATGTGTTCATTTGGTAAATTGGTACAACTAAAAACTGATCATTTTAACATGTTTGTTAACTAATAAATTTCGTAAACTATCAGTTTTGGTTTGTTGACGATGGACTGCCATTCTGTGACGTAGTTTATTCTGCTTCCAAAGCTTTCAACCTACCAAAAACCGCTAAAATGCTGAATTTAGAGGACTTTACAATAACTCCTCCTTCAGCCTGTTCTTGCTCTCTCTCTCTCTATATATATAAATAGCAGACTTACAAGATATATAGTACACTCGATAAACGTCAACCCTGAGGTAATAACAAAAATAGTGGCGTTAAAGTTAAACTCGTTCGTTCATTTTACTCCTACCAGTGAACAAAATATAACTGTGAAACAAAGGGAGTTTAACCAGCGACATTATGGTTTTACCTCAAATATTTCTTATCACAGTTATAACTGCTTCCAAGCTTTTCACCTACCAAAAACCGTTAAAAAGCTCAATTTAGAGGACTTTACAATAACTCCTCCTTCAGCCTCTTCTTGCTCTACGTTCCCATACAACTATTATCCGGCTTGACATACAGTAACTGGTGATTTTAATATTATCCTAAGTGAGAAGTGAAGATAATTTTTGTGAAGGTTCCTGGCTGTGTATCGAGAGACTATTACTAACAACTGGAATGTAAGTTTTAAGATAGTGATGGATTCTGTGGAAGACTACAACCGACAAAGGACAGAACGAGGACACAATGGACAGAACGAGGACACAATGGACAGAACGAGGACACAATGAACAGAACGAGGACACAATGCACAGAACGAGGACACAATGGACAGGACGAGGACACAATGAGAACGAGGACACAATGGACAGAACGAGGACACAATGGACAGAACGAGGATACAATGGACAGAACAAGGACACAATGGTCAGAACGAGGACACAATGGTCAGAACGAGGACACAATGGACAGAACAAGGACACAATGGTCAGAACGAAGACACAATGGACAGAAGGAGAACACAATGGTCAGAACGAGGACACAATGGACAAAGCGAGGACACAATGGTCAGAACGAGGACACAATGGTCAGAACGAGGACACAATGGTTAGAACGAGGACACAATGGACAGGACGAGGACACAATGGACAGAACGAGGACACAATGGACAGAACGAGAACATAATGGACAGAACGAGGACACAATGGACAGAACGAGGACACAATGGACAGAAGGAGAACACAATGGTCAGAACGAGGACACAATGGACAAAGCGAGGACACAATGGTCAGAACGAGGACACAATGGTCAGAACGAGGACACAATGGACAGAACGAGGACACAATGTACAGAACGAGGACGCAGACAATGGACAGAACGAGGACACAATAGACAGAACGAGGACGCAGACAATGGACAGAACAAAAAAACAATGGACAGAACAAGGACACAATGGACAGAACGAGGACACAATGGACAGAACGAGGACACAATGGACAGAACGAGGAGACAATGGACAGAACGAGGACATAATGGACAGAACGAGGAAATAATGAACAGAACGAGGAAATAATGGACAGAACGAGGACACAATGGACAGAACGAGGACACAATGGACAGAACGAGGACACAATGGACAGAACGAGGACATAATGGACAGAACGAGGACAAAATGGACAGGTCGAGGACACAATGGACAGAACGAGGACACTATGGACAGAACGAGGACACAATGGACAGAACGAGGACACAGTGGACAGAACGAGGACACAATGGACAGAACGAGGACATAATGGACAGAACGAGGACAAAATGGACAGGTCGAGGACACAATGGACAGAACGAGGACACAATGGACAGAACGAGGACATGCTGCATTGGTTTCACCTTCAGAACGTTCAATGTGTCTAGCATGTACATCATTACAACATATTAGCTGCTTGAAATCTTAAATAAAAAAAATATGTGTATTTCTTAACCCCGGTGTCAAAACCACAATCTACACGATCTACATGATAGGTATGCATTTTTGTTTGCAGACAAAACATCACATAACTTACTCTTTATCTAAAAAACACTTTTACATTGCCTGCTTTTAGAAAGAACTAGGCCTGTTTTATAGCCAAGGTAACCCTTTTATCTAAGCTTTCCGTTAAACCCTTCATCAGAAAGTGACTGGTTTTTTTATATTTCTTTTATAGCGTTTTCTGTAAAGTTAGCATTGTTAAATTTGTATTTAGTATCGACAATGAGTTGTGATCTTATTCCTTAGTGTTTACACTGTGGTATTGAGTTTTTCTTTTTACAAAGAACTGAATATGTATCTAAAAGAAGATATAAAGGGAAGCGGGTCCATGGGAAAGGCATAAAAATAAGTCAATATAAATCTGTAAAGATTTTTAAAGAAATAGTACCTACCTGATAGATAGGTCTCCGAAGCCAGGTTGTATTCAGCTGGTTGGACAAGGTCAGTGGCGTACTGTAACAAACAGGCGTACACTTAGTGTCCATCCAGTGATCAATTAAAACGTATCACTAGCAAACATGTTAATATATATACAGTATATATAAGTAACGTATTAATCATCACTTGAGATAATATGACTAGTTTCTAGTTAATAAGTTAACTAGTATTTCATCCTCTTTCAGAATAAACCACGGATATTGTTACAAGTATATATATTGCGGTTTAAAAAAAGCATACGCGATAACCAGGCGTTAAGGATAATTGTTACCGGCTCCACCTGTGGTACCCGTTAGGGCGTCTACAGTCGTTGCCGAAACCATCTGCGGTACCCGTCAGGGCGTCTACAGTCGTTACCGGCTCCACCTGTGGTACCCGTCAGGGCGTCTACAGTCGTTACCGAAACCATCTGCGGTACCCGTCAGGGCGTCTACAGTCGCTACCGGCTCCACCTGTGGTACCCGTCTACAGTCATTTTTTTTTTATATCAATTCAAGTTTATTCCGGGGGCCTTACGACCCATAGGCATACATAAATATAATACATAATATTACATACATATTTGGAGAGTGATCTCTCATGACATGCATACAGAACACAGAAAGTAACGTATACATGTATGTATACGATACACAAACAACATACTGACAGAGACGGGAGGTAACTCCGCGGCAATGCTATCTTGATTGCGATTACATAAATGCCGAGTCAATCTACCAATTATTACTAAGTTTAATGAATATACATTTTACACCATTAGCAATAATACTTGTATTATACAGACAGACAGATACACACAAAGAGACAGACACACACACAGACACACACACACACACAGAAGTATAAGTAATAATTATTTTTCAGTATAGGTATGCTTTTCTTTGCATTCGAAATGATACATGAAATACATATGAGGGTGTTTAACGATAACATTCGCTTTTAGCCAAAGTATGTTTTTCTTTACTTAACGGCAGAATGCTAAGGTATACATGGTTACAGAACATACCTATTGCATATGTATTTGGAGAGTGATCTCGCATGACAAGCATACCGAACACAGAAAGTAACATAAACATGTATGTATAAAATACATCATAAACATAATAATACAAGAAAAATTAACTTAAGTTAAATTTAACTTAACAGACACATACTGACGGAGATGCGCCAATGTTACCTTGAATGGGATTACATTGGTGCTGAGTCAATCTACCAATTATGTACCACTTATTGATTAAGTTTAATAATAAATATATGTTGTACAACATCAGCAATCATACTTCTATTATACAAAATTCGAAATATACCTGAAATACATATGTGAGGTATATAACGATAATATTCACTTTTAGCCAAAGTGCGTTTTTCTTTTCTTAAAGGCAAAATGAATATATTTTCCAAGATTATATTTAGTTCCTTAACATTATTTATACTTAACAGTTGCACAAGTTTGAAAACGCTAGGTGATTTATAATAATACCTTTTAATATACCTTTGTCTAATTTCTATATAAAATGGACATTGCAGTATAAAATGGAACTCATCTTCAATTTCAAAACTTTGGCAACATTCACATATTCTGCGTCTCTTATCGAAATAGTATTGCATGCAAAAATGATCAATAAGTTGTTCGTATAGGTCACCTCTGGCAGCATTTATAATTCTTGCTCTCATTTCCTGGGTGTAACAATCTTTAAATCGTTGGTCTACTACTTTGTACATATTACCATTTATAGTATCACTAGTCCAAAAGTAAGATAAACCAAGTTTATCTAGTTCTGTTTAATATTGTTTATCCAATCATCATTCATTATCAATCGCTCTTCTAAACATGTGGCCAATATACAATTTTTGGATTCTTTTTATTTTAACCAGTATTTTATAACTTTTAACTTTCTATTTATGTAACGTGACCGTCTACCAAGCTCGTAATATACAAAATCAGTACCTGTACTTTTTTTGACACCAAGCAATTGTCACAAAACCCAGAATGGAGCTTTTCTGTCTGTGGTGCTTTATGAAAGCCCCATATCTCGCTTCCATACTCGAGTATGCTGTTGACATATGTATCAAACACTGAACATGTTGTACTAATATTGAAATTATTTTTCTTCAATTTACTATTAATTGCAAATAAAGCTTTTCTTCCCTGGTTAGCAATATTTTTCTGAGTAATTTTGTACTTTCCGTTAAAATTCATCAACATTCCCAAATAATTAAATTCATTAACTATATCTACTTCTTGGTTGTTGTAGATCCATTTTTCAGCATCTCTTATATTCCCCCAATTTCGAAAGATAACAATCTTGGTTTTGGAGATATTGAGTTTTTACTTCCATTCTAGGTTATATACATATAATGAATCTAAAAGTTTCTGCAATGCTTCTGGTGTCTCCGCAATCAATGCAGTGTCATCGGCATACATAAGTAAAAACAAGTTTAAGAGACCTTTTTCAATAGATGGACAATTTTCAGTGATAAATTTCATTTCGCAATCATTTACATAGAGGCTTATAGAATCGGGGACAGAATGTCTCCCTGGAACAAACCGATTTTGTTTGGGTAATACTCTGATAACAAACCATTAAACTTTATACATGATTTTACATTTTTATACAGCGACTAAATAATTTTCAACATTTTCCCTTTGATTCCATGTTTTATGAGTTTAGACGACAAACAACTTCTTTCAATCAAATCGAATGCTTTTGTGTAATCTATAAAGCAACAGTATAGTCTCTTTTTCGCTTTTAATGTTTTATAAATTAAGGTTTGTAATGTCAATAGCGGAACCATCTGTGGTACCCGTTAGGGCGTCTACAGTCGTTATCGGAACCACCTTTGGTACCCGTTATGGCGTCTACAGTCGTTAGCGGAACCACCCGTGGTACCCGTCAGGGCGTCTACAGTCGTTAGCGGAACCACCCGTGGTACCCGTCAGGACGACTACTGTCGTTACCGAAACCACCCGTGGTACCCGTCAGGACGACTACAGTCGTTATTGGAACCATCTGTGGTACCCGTCAGGTTGTCTACAGTCGTTTCCGAAATCATCTATGGTTTTTAATTTGGTAATGTTAGTAATCCCTTTAATTAATTTATCTTGCGCCCCGAATATATTAAAAACACGAAAGTTCGTTAATAATTGAGACAAGATTTAAGTTTACCGTGAAGAATGTTTGGAAAATACTGCAGAAAGTCAAATGACACAACAAAAAGCTTTTTTTTTCCATGATTACGTTCTCCGGAAGTTCTTTAGAATTGTTCAAAATCAACATTTTACAATCGCTGTTGTGTTTTTACAGTAGGAAAATGTGTTTGTGAGATAAATAGTTTTAAAAGTGATCACTAAAGTTTACATGTTTAACTGATACTTCGTCATAAACCTGTTTTTCAAACAAAAATGTCTGATGCGAATTGACACAGGTCTCGTCACTTAGTAGAATTATGTTTGTAGTTTCAAACCGATTTCCATACTAAACCTGTTATGTGGACCTGTCAGAGTGGGGTTGTTTCACTGACTGACGTCACTTATAAAGAGAGGCGATGCTATGCCTTATATGACATATAAAGTACATTCAGGGAATTCCACTCATTCGCTCTCAATTTTGATTTATCCAATGTATACTCTCTATCACAATTTAAAGCTCTACTCTTCAAAAATAATGTAACTGTCTCTGCTACAACAAACACGTTTGCAAATGATGGCAGTCGAAATATAAATATAATTATGTGTCAACTTAGAAATGAAGCCAGCAATTTGAACTCTGACCTTTTTCTTGACCATTTAAAAGATTCTCCAATATATACAAACCTTGGTAAGGAAACTGCGGAACATTATTTTTTGTATCTGTCCTCTATTCAACCATTCTCGATTGAAACTTAGAAATCAGCTGATTAACCAAAATATAACCCATGACCATTTTAATATAAACACATTACTTCATGGATGTCATGAATGTGATGAAGAAACCAATGCATTTGTACTACAATGTATATCAGAGTACATTATCAACACTATAAGATTTGTTTAATCATAACTATACCTTGTACGGTGGGGGACATGAAGACACACTATATGAATTGTTTATATTTTTGTTTGATGATTTCAATGGCTGTACATATAACATACCGGAGTTGTAAGGAGAAGGCTTATATAGGCTTGGCCTGATGCCCTATCCCCTTTACATATAACATACCGGAGTTGTAAGGAGAAGGCTTATATAGGCTTGGCCTGATGCCCTATCCCCTTTACATATAACATACCGGAGTTGTAAGGAGAAGGCTTATATAGGCTTGGCCTGATGCCCTATCCCCTTTACATATAACATACCGGAGTTGTAAGGAGAAGGCTTATATAGGCTTGGCCTGATGCCCTATCCCCTTTACATATTTTTTGCAATAAAATTTGTTGAAAAGAAATATGACATATAAACGAAGGTAATTAATAATTTGGTTAAACTCTCGCTACCTTGACCTGGAGGGAACAGTTCTGTCGCGTGACGGCCGGGTCGTTACAGTCGAGGTCAGGACTCAGGACGTCCATCAGACCGCAGTCGTAGTACAGGCTGGTCTCGCAGACTGTGAACGCAGTACACGAACGGTTCACTGCGCACATCCGAGCACACTCCAGTCGGGACCTGGTCACTACGTTGGTGTACGCCGTTTGAGTTACCACTCCAGCACCTTGACCACATGGACGGTGGAACGCCACTGAGACGACGTCACCGTGAATAGCAGGAAACGACAAGAGTACGCATACTACAAGGCGGTGCATGTTGATCCAGAGAGAGTGAAGACGTAAGAGGGTCTGAGGAAATCTACCGTAACGTTTTGCTATTAAACACGTTTCAAGGACTTTTCATGGAAGTAGTTCGTGAATCAAGCGTCACATATTATTGGCTGACCTTGGTTAGTTTTTGTCATGTGTGTGTGTGTTGTTTTGTCATACGAAACAGTTAATAAAAGGTAGAAGTATCGACCAGAGAATCAGAGCGATTACTATAGACAACCCGGATCTTTAGTAAAGTACAGCGTGTCACAGCCTTTATCTGAATCAGTGAGTACGGACCATTAAAAAACTCTTGGAAATCTTATTTCCGGTTTTTGTTTGACACATAGAAAGATTTTTATCTACCTTGAAACATGAAGGCTATTTCAATCATGTTTAACAGACGCAGTTCTCGGGCAAAGGGACCTGAGAATTTGCTACATCTACAAACTTGACCTGAAGTGACGTGTTCATGGTTGTTTTATACGTGGTAACCAGGGGTTTCGAGCAATCTTCGGTAAAAATGCCACACCCAATGATGGTACGATGTATATACGAGAAGGCAGGAAAACTCGATCCTATCTACAATTTTTGAATAAAAAAATTGTTTTAGTTGAGGCACTAGTAACGTTGGAAAGATGGATCATTTTTCATTTAGAAACCTCGCTAATTGTATTCTCATTGTGCGGACACGATTTCCTGTACTATCACATCCTATTCCGACCTTTTGAAGTTTTCGCAGTCCTAGAGCCACTTTTTCCATATTAATGAGGTTATCGTTACACTAGAATGAACACCTCACGCCTTGCTTGCTCGCAAAGATGTGTTGTGAAATCTATAAATAGACAGATTTACAAACCTGTACCCTAGCACATGTTGTTAACCACATGAATATGGAAAATGGCAGTGTGACTGCGATGGTGATCCCATATCCCAATCGCATTGCTCTAAATGTGTTTACACAGAGGAAATGTTGCCTATATTTTTGTTGTTTTTCTTTTGGTTGGCAATTATTTCTTGACTTTGATTGCAGAATGTATCGACAGATTTAAGACATTCCAATGGGATTTAAGTTGCTCGTCACTTTTAGCTGGAAAACTTTTGTAAAAAATCTAAAGCTGAATTATCTCACAAGTTTTGGGAGAAAAGGGCAAGATACGTTAATTATGCGATCTCGTATTCAGATAAATCAATGGTGTTGTCATTAAAAAACAAGTTCGAGAACTAACAATTATTTTTCCTTATTGTTATCCCTATAATTACATTTGCTCTGCATCCTTTCATTGATATGCATTACGAAGGCAAATGTTGTAATGAGACTATAACAACATTTGCTATTGTATTGCCGCCAATCTCAGTATTGTGACGTCATCATTTTAATATTCGTCAACACTTGATTTGCTGATCAAATACTGTTCGAAATAACTAAATAAAACATAACTACTCTATCAAAATGTAGCCTAGCGGGCTTTATTAAGTTTGTCATCAATAGCAATGTGTGTTATAGGACCATAACAACATTTGCTAAAACATTCATTGCTTAAGTAGGCTGACGCGCTGGTGTACATTGTGTATACTATCGGTTTCCATGGCGGACTCATTTTGTAACATTACTAGCCGATCTATGATTGACATAATGGCTCTTTATAAAGAGTTATAAAAGACTTGGCCGATACCTTAACTTATCATTCAAATATATATTTGATATTTTCCTTATTAAGTTATAGTTTTGGTAATGATTACACATCATCAATCCTCTAGAATTCGTTAAAAAATCCTCTTTGTCCGCCTCATTGCTTGGTATTTACCGTCACTATGTATGATATTGGTTATAGTCTATTACTTCAGTTCCCAATTTTACGTTAACGCGACGTTTGTTTCAATGTCGTTAGCAGAAAGATTCTAGTTGACAATATCGGTTAGAAGATTACCCAGCAGCAAGATTTCCTTAACAGGCCGACAAAGCAACGTATACCGTGCAAAGTCATTCAACTTTTCAATATATCAACGAAAACACACGAGTCAGATATATTGGGATTGAAAGGAGTGTGTTTTTTTAATTTTCATGCCGGTATGAACGCAAATCAGTTGCATCCATATTCCACCAATGTAACCGATTTACGTTCATACCGGCATGAAATTTTAAAAAACGCCGTTCAATCCATATATTTACATTTTTACTATAGAACAATTGTTTAATTTTATTGATTTGTTCTTAAATAAATTATTTATCTACTGCGATTTGTAAATGCGTCGTCCTTTAAAGGACTTTGTCGGAACAGCTATATATAAATAACATTGGCGCCAATAATTAACCGTAGTCATTTGAGTGTTTAACGCAGAGGCGTTCTCCGTGTTGTTCGAAGAGAAGCGACAAGACTCTCAAATTTCCTATTATTTATAATAAAACCGCGATTCCCAACCTACGATGTTAATGTGTAGCAGTTGACTCATTTCAGATGTTGTTGGACAAACTAAATAAATCAAGGCTTCGAAAGACGCATATTGATGACAACTAAGAGCAAATGTTGTGGTATAGTTGGGAGCAACTTAACTTGGTATCTAGTTTACCTTGTAGTACACGCGTAGTGAACAAGGAAGGGCACTAGGCAAGACATTGAAGTGCGCTCCTGTTCACTTCAGGTTAACTCCAGTGCACAATTAAGTGAACTGGAAATGACTCGACTCCCTCCTCCGAGCAAACTAATCTTTAGCACCAAAACGGAGGCTAATCTTGCGGAAGATTGGAGGAAATGGAAGGAGGAATTTCTGCTGTTTAGCGAGTTGGCGCTAAAAGGGGAAAAGCAGATAGAAAAACTGAAAATGTTTAAATATCGTATTGGGCTTAAAGGTCGTGAGATATATAATACTTAGAGATGGGAAGGGGACGAAACCACACGAACTGTCCAAAATGTGTTGGATGTTTTTGACTGGTATTGTGAGCCAAAGAAAAACGGGACTGTGGAACGCTTTAAGTTCAAAATCAGAGTACAAGGGGAGGAAACTATGGAAAAATTCATCACGGATGTGAAGACTCTCTCCAAGACATGTAGCTTTGGTGAATTATCACTCTTAGATCTCATACTCGATAAAGTTGAGGAAATGTGCCGAATAAGCGAAACAACAAAACAAAGTGTAAGTACATTAGACAAGGCTGCAACCATGTCAACAGTACACAGTGTGAATGGAAAAGAAAAGGTCCACATGGCCTGCAAAACCAACTAATAAACCAAACACCAGAGCAAATAATTCAGGGCAGGACAAGTTCTGTGATAGGATACATGAACACAAAAAGGTAAAGTGTTCGGTATACGGTCAACAATGCAGGAAATGTAAGGGAATAAACCACTATGAAGTGAAGTGTAAAGAGTTCAAACCGAAACTTTAACAGCAATGGAGAAGAAACAGACAAAAGGTACTCAGTGTGGAAGAACAGTCGAACTGTAATGAAGATTATTTTGACCTATATTCAATTACACAACATAACTCAGACTTTATTGTACATACAGTAAACTCCAACAATCTGATGGCAAGGTTACATATAGGTAACAAACAGGAACAATTTCAGTTAGACAGCGGTGCACAGTGCAATATTATTCCTGAAAGTGTAGTATCACACAACACAGAAGTAACCCCAACAACAACCACTTTGAAAATGTTAAACAAAACAACAGTTATTCCCAAAGGAAAATGTGTTCTCGGGGTTGTCAATCCAAAAAATGACACTAAATTCAACCTAGATTGCTTCATAGTGAAGGAAACTACACACCAATATCAGGAAGCAGGAGTATGGTAGACATGGACCTGATTCAAGTTCGTCATGAGAACATTTTGGCAGTGGGCCAAACAGAAAGTGTCATGTCAAGTGCCTTTAGTATTAAGGACATCACTTCAAATTATGCTGACATTTTTGAAGGAAATGGCTGCTTAGAGGGACAGTATCACCTCATTACGGATAAAACAGTACCACTTGTGGTACAACCTCCGAGAACGATTCCAATTGCACTTCGCGATAGAGTGAAAACTGAGCTGGAGACATTGAAAGATTTAGGTGTGTTGAAGCCTGTAACTGAACCTACACCATGGGTGTCAAGCATGGTTGTAGTTGTTAAACCCAACAAGCTCGGGATTTGTAATGATCCAAGGGATTTAAATAGAGCTCTGAAGCGTAGTCACTACCCTCTACCGACAATAGATGACATACTGCCAAAGCTCCACAATGCTAAGGTCTTTAGTGTTCCTGATGCCCGTAATGGTTTCTGGCATGTTGAGTTGGATCGAGAAGTCTAACTACTTACAACCTTTAATACACCATTTGGCCGATATAGATGGCTGAGGATGTCATTTGGTTTGTCCACAGCTCCCGAGGAATTTCAACGGAGGCAGGACCAAGCTGTTGAAGGCTTAGCAGGGGTTCACAGCATAGTTGACGATATACTTGTTTATGGCAAAGGTGATACAGAGAAGGAAGCAACTAAGGATCATGATATGAAGTTGCTTGCCTTACTGGACCGATGTCGTGAAAGAGGTCTAAACTGAACAAGGATAAGTTACGATTAAGGCAGAAGGAGGTGAGATTTTTGGGACATCTCATTACTGCTGAGGATCTGAAACCCGATCCAGCAAAAGTACTGGCAGTGCTAGAAATGCCCAATCCAACTGACGTCACTGGAATACGAAGTTTTCTAGGTTTTGTGAATTATCGAAGCAAATTCCTTCCAGGATTAAGTGAGATGTGAACCGTTACGCAAATTGACAGTACAAAATGTGGAATGGTGTTGGTTGGAAACCCACAGTAAGGTTGTGGAAGAAATCAAACGATTGGTCACGTCGTCACCCTTACTTAAATACTATGACCAAGACAAAAAGATGAACTGACACTACAATGTGATGCCTCTGAAAAAGGCTTAGGAGCTGCCATAATGCAGATGGGTCAACATGTGGCGTATGCAAGTCGTGCACTGACAGATGTGGAAACGCGTTACGCACAGATCGAAAAGGAACTTCTAGCGGTGGTTTTC